AAGACCTTCCTGATACAGAAAGATGTATGAAACTCCACGTCTTGGAGAAGAATGAAACCATGATTTTGATCAAGACTGACAGTGAAATTTGAAAAGTAAAGTTGGAGGCCTGGTGGTCACTGAAACTCCAGCCTCTCTCTGCTGCTGGTTTATTGAAGAGTTGATTGGCCCACTGGATTGGTTTAATTTGGAGTCCAGGTGTGGTGCTATATGATCAGCACTAGACTGGTAACCACACAGTTGGAGGTCCAAACCCACCAATATGAAATATGAGGGACCCGTGAGAAAAAGGAAATATTCTGTTTCTTGGCTGTGTTAATTACAATATCACTATTTTTAGTGTAATATTATACTATGGTTTTCATGTTACCGTTGGTGGGAGGAGCCTTGGTGGCATAGTGGTTAATTATTTGGTTGCTAACTATATTGGCATTGTTAGCAATACGTTCTGCACTGCATACCACCAGGTCAGTAGTTCAGTTCCATCAGCCACTGCTTGGGGAAAAGATGAGGATGTCTGCTGCTGCAAAGGTTTCCAGCCTTGCAACCCTATACAGGGTTGCTGTGAGTTGAAAATGACTAGATAGCACTTAACAATAAGAAACAAACGAAAAATCGGCACTTGGAATCCATCAGCCACCTGTGTGAGAAAGATGCGGCGGTTTGTGGGACAATTCTGCTGTTTCCTATCAGGTTGCTGTGAGTCTGGTTGATGCTAAAGCACTATGTACAACTGGTGGAATTTGGGTAAAGGGCCTGTGGACTCTTTCTGGACTCTTCCTTAATGTTGTTGTTCTTAGATACCCGCAAGTCAGTTCAAACTCATAGTGACTTTATGCAGAACAGAATGAAACATGACCAAGTTCTGCAGCAACCTCAGCATCATTGTTATGCATTGTTATGCATGCATTCATTGCTACTGCCATGGTCTCAGTCTATGTCATTGAGGGTTTCCCTCTTTTTCATTGCCCAGCCACTTTACCAAGCATGATGGCCTTCTCCAGGGATTTGTCTGAAATATGAGAGATGAAGTCTGACCATCTTGGCTGCTAAGGAGCATTCTGGTTATACTTCTTCCAACAAAGAATTGCTTGTTATTCTGGAAGTCCATGGTATTTTTAATATTCTTCTACAACACCCTAACTCAAAAACATCTGTTCTTTTAGGGTTTTCCATATTCAACTCTCACATGCATATGAGGTTATTGAAAATACCATGGTTTAGGTCAAGGGCACCTTAGTCTTCAAACTGACATCTTTGCTCTTCAATACTTTAAAGAGGTCTTGTGCAGCAAATTTAGCTAATGCAATACGTTGTTGGATTTCTTGACTGCTGTTTCCATGAGTGTTAAGCAAAAAAGTCTTTGACAACTCCATCCTTTTTTTCATTTATATGGATATTACTTATTGGTCCAGTGGTAAGGATTTTGTTTTCTTTACATTGAGGTACAACCTGTACCAAAAGCTGTGGTTTTTGATCTTTATCTTTCTTTATGTTATGATGTGCCTTCGAGTCGATTTGACCCACAGCGACCCTGTATATGGTTTTCGAGGAGCAGCTGATGAGCTTGAACTGCCGGCCTTGCAGTTCAAATGCCTTTGCAGTCTGACGCATTAACCCACAGCTCCACACCAGGACTCTATCTTTCTTTATAACTGCATGGAATTATATTGAAAAGGTTTTGATTTGCCTTTTAAAGTATGCTTAATTCTCTCTCCCAGCAATGACCATTTCTACTAGGAATAGTGTGGGAAATGGGTGCTGGTACCAGAATCCCTTGATGTGATTCCAAGTTTTAGTTTATAAACAGGGAGTTCTTTGACAGGTTTCTTCAGTTCACCATCCTCAATTTTCATATCTGTTGAATGAAGAGTAATAATTTTAATGCTAATGAATTTCTCACAGGTAATTGTAAAGACTTGATGATTTGTAACTTACATAGAAAAGACGGGAGTACTGGTGTGGTGCTGTGGGGTCAGCACTGGGCTGCTAACCACAAGGCTGGCAGTTCAAACCCACCAGCTGTTCCTTGGAAACCTTGCATGGGATCACTGTGAGTTGGAACTGACTAGACAGCACTTGACAACAACATATAAAAGACAGCCAGCCTTGGTAGCAGTACCTGTACAATAGTATGTGCACAAACAATGGTTGTTGTTCTTACTGTGTTACCCCTTTCAACACAGTTGAAATATATATACATTTTGTTCATTTTGTCTTTTGATTTAAGCCACATTTTTTTTTGTTAACAATAAATAAGATTTGAATCTAAAATAAAGAAGTTTAGCACTTTTCCCTCAATATTGTATATATTGTATTATTATATACAGTTATATTTTGTAACCTATACTTAAAGAAAATTTTAAGTTACTACCCAGATTTCAGAAGTCCCACGGTATGCACATGGTTGAACATTCGACTAGCCAAGAGGTTGGTGGTTCAGATCCACCCATTGTTGTTGTTAAGTGCCATCAAGTCACTGCCGACTCACAGCCATCCTGTGTAGGGTTTCTGAGGAGCAGCTGGTGAATTTGAACTGCCGACCTTGTGGTTGCCAGTCCAATGCTGATACTACAGCACCACACCAGGAGTCCACATCCCACCTTTGTTGTTGTTGTTGTTAAGTGCCGTCGAGTCGATTCTGACCCATAGCGACCCTGTACAGGGTTTCCGAGGGTGTAAATCCTTACGGGAGTAGAAAGCCTCATCTTTCTCCTGCGGAGCGGCTGGTAGTTTCAAACCGCTGACCTTAAGGTTCGCAGCCCGATTCGTAACCACATCCCACCTTAGGTACCTCAAAAGAGCCCTGGCCATCTGCTTCTGGAAGGTCAGAGCTTTGAAAACCCTATGAGCAGAGTTTTCACCACCTGTGGCTTTTCCACTTTGAGTTACCTCGAGCTGAAATTGGCTAAATGTCAAGTAACCAGAGTTACCTAAACTTAAAACAAATGTTTTATTTTTCAAACAAATTCCTTGTTTTTGTTTCTGGTTCATATCTACAACTATTTGACTGGTAATTCCTTGCCCCCCCACCCCCACCCCTTATCTTGTAAATAGTGGACTGGGGGCTCAAACAGAACGTTAATGTCCCAGTGTCTTGATGTAATATAAGAAGCACAGAATGGCTTAATATTCTTACAGTCATTTTTGTGACTTTTCCAACATGACTGAAGGAAAATATTCTTGAGAAAGTTTCTATATACTTTGAAGCCTTCAGTGATCCAAGTGTCTACTGAGACATTTCATCTAGAGTTGGCCTACTCCCCCCAGAATGCTGTTGGGTGACATATTTAACTTCTCCAAGCTTTTTGTTGGCCCGGGTCCTATTTATTATAGGTTATTGGATGTTGTCTACTCTAAGTCTAAGGCATAATTTAGGATGCTCTGATTAATGCTATGTAGTAGTAGCTTTGAGCCACTTTGTTGAATAGAGGTCATTTCAGACTGCCATGAGAATTCTTATGTAACATAATGAGTAAAATATCAGCCTTCTCTGGGAATTTCAGTGTCCAGGATGTAAGTAAGAGGCAAATTCAAAGTAAATTGGTGTTTACTCCTCAGCAAATTTAAAGACCTGCATCTTTCCACGGTATGAACAAGAGGAGGTGTCATTTGGAATTCACTATACAGGAGTCCAGGGTCCTAGTATGGCAATGTAGAATAATTTGCTGGACCTCAAGGTCAGTTTGAACCACAAGGTTGGTGATTCAAACCGACCAGTTGCTCCTCAGAAACCTTATACAGAGTTGCTATGGGTCGGAACCAACTTGAAGGCTCTGAGCAACAACAAAAACATACAGGAGTCCTGGTGTGGCTCTGTAGGCTAAACCATGGGATTGTAAGTTTTGTTTGAACCACAAGATTGGCAATTCAGACTCACCAGTCACTCCTTGGAAACCTTATACAGGTTTACTATGAGTTGAAATTGACTCAATGGCAGTTCTCGACAACCTACAAAAATAAGACTGATGTTACATTTTGAGCTATTGACAATTAGGTAGATAAAGAGCCAATTTATGATCTTCCCCAAATCCTTTTACTTTTCCAAACTCATATTCTCTTCTGCTTTGTGTCTGCTGTTGAAAAAGCATATTGATTTTGGTTGAGGAGCAAATGTGGAAGAAAGCGTGTGTGGTTCTTCTGTCTGTGAGCATTTTGCTTTTATAGTTTTTAAAACTTTGTAACAGATTTCTTGTTTTTCATTCTGGTTTGCAGCCATAACACTAAAACAACATCTTGGCTAGACCCCCGGTGCCTGAACAAGCAGCAGAAGCCTCTGGAAGAGTGTGAAGATGATGGTAAGGGACTAGGTAGACGAACACGGGCTTCTTCATCTGTGAACATTTTAAAGAGTCTGTGGCAAGGCCAACCAGGTTTTAACAGTCTTTTTTGTTTTATTATAATCCAGTTTTTAGTAAATATGCTATAGTTTACAAAAGCAGAGAAGTCTGCAAAATTGTTGTCAAAAGAGCATTTCCTCCCTACATACAGGCAAATGCATACAGTGATCTCTACTGAAAGTAGAACTTTAGCATAGTCAGTAGCTGTTCAAATTTAGATATAACCTGGTGTTAGGAAGTTGGAGAAGGACCTGGAAGATTCTACAAGAAAACCAAACTTCTGTGGCCACCACTTTAATTTATGGGACCCTAGCCCTATGTTATGTAGGTCTTGGGAGGGAGGATTAAGAGTGTGAATTAAACTTTACATACTTGATAACTCTCTGGTTTTCCCAGCCTGGGAGAGATCTTAACTTGTTTGGCAATGTCAATATAATTCAGAATATATCTTAAGTATTAAAGGAGCCCAGGTATTATTTGGCTGCTAACCAAATATTATGCATCTGCGATATGCAGATGATACAACCTTGCTTGCTGAAAGTGAAGAGGACTTAAAATATTTACTGATGAAGATGAAAGAGCACAGCCTTCAATATGGATTACATCTCAATGTAAAGAAAACAAAAATCCTCACCACTGGACCAATAAACAACATTCTTATCAATGGAGAAAAGATTGAAGTTGTCAAGGACTTCCTTCTTCTTGGATCAGTGATCAACACTCATGGAAGCAACAATCAAGAAATCAAATGACGTATTGCATTAGGCAAAATCTGCTGCACAAGACCTTTTTAAGTGTTGAAGAGCAAAGATGTCAGCTTGAAGACTAAGGTGTGCCTGACCCAAGCCATGGGTATATTCAATAACCTCATATGCATGTAAAAACTGGACAGTAAATAAGGAACACTGTAGAAGAATTTTGATGCATTTGAGTTATGGTGTCTAAGGAGAATATTGAAAGTACCATGGACTGCCAAAAGAACCAGTAGATCTGTTTTGGAAGAAGTGCAGCCAGAGTGCTCCTTGGAGGCCAAGATGGGCAAACTTTGTCTTTCATACTTTGGATATATTGTCAGGAGGGACTAGACATTGGAGAAGGATATCATGTTTGGTAAGGTGGAGGGTCAGAGGAAAAGAGGGAGACCGTCAACGACATGGATTGGCCAAGTGGCAGCATCAATGGACTCAAGCGTGGCAACAGTAGTGAGGTTGGCCCAGGATCAGGCACTGTTTCATTCTACTGTGCATAAGGTCGCTGTGAGTCGGTACCAACTCAATGACATCTAACAACAACAAAAAACCAAAGATTGGCAGTTTGAATCCTTCCAGTTGCACCAGGGGAGGAAGATCTGGTAATCTGCTCTTAATAATATTACAGCCTAGAAATCGACTTTGTCACATGGCATCACTATGGGTCAAAATCAACTCAATGGTTCCTAACAGCTACAATAACCTAAATATCTAAAAACTGTATTCTTTCAAGCAAGAGGCTGAGGTATTGTCTATAGCCCCATCACCTCTTAATTTTGGAAAAGAATAAGCTGGCTATAAAAGTTACTGTTGAGAAAGTTTATTTCAAAGCATAGAAGTTTCTCGTTACTTTCCCGAAATGACAAAAAAAAAAAAAAAAAAAAGGCAAAATGTGTTTCCTTTCTGTACACTGAAATCTTTTCCAAGTTCTACAGAAATTGCTTTTTTTTACAAAGACAAATTAAAATGGAAATGGTTTGCTTTCCTTCTCATTATTCAATTCTGGCATTTGAATTAGTAGTATCATTACTGCATACATATTTTACTGCACGATAACAGAACTTTTATTAATTTGACCTGTGTTGCAGAATTGTTGCATATATAAACTTGAGATTTGCTTGAAAATGCAAGCCAGTATATTAAAGTATTATGCTTTTGAAACTGTGCTCCCAAGATCCTTCTACTATACTTGGTTTGCGAGTTATGGCAAATGAACATAGAATCACGAATCATATTTATCTAAGTGACTTCAAGTGGAGATACAAGTTCTGTGGAGTTAGGAGGCTTGACTGAAAGATTTGGTATATTTTGGCTGTTTGGTCCTGATTCTAAAGAAGGGCAGGTATGGTCAGTTCTATTGTTTTGAATATTTAGGGAGTAACGAACTGGTCTGATCATTCCGAAGGCTCAGAACATACATAAGGTACAATCAATTGTGAAACTTCACAAAATAAAATATCTTCTTTACATTTTTAGGATAATTGATGATTTTTAAAAGCAGTTTAGGTATTCTCATTACCAAGGGGTCTTTCATGTCAATATTCATTATGTTTGTACTGAGAAAGTCTGAAGATGTCTATTAATAGGATTTTATAGATGGTAGATGACAACAGTAGCTTTTACTGAGAAAAACTATGATTGGAATAAAAGTATTATGTAAAATTACTGGAGGATTTTGTTATCAAATTGAATAAGTTTGAATTCTTAGAATTCTTAGCATATGGATTCATGTTATTCCTTTGGGACAAGTAGGTGGTTGTGCCAAATGCAGTTAGTTTAATAGTTATCGCTGTAGGGTAATTTGTCATGAGAAGTGATATATTCTGTCTCTGTGAGGAATCATGTACATGTGTTTCTGTATACATAAACAATGTCAATAAATAACCAGTCCATATCTATTTGACAAGCTTGCATTTCCTGTTGCCAATTAAACAAAACTATCTTTTGCTAGTTTTTATATGATTCCAAACAGAATAGCATTATTAGTCACAGTATTGTTCTTGTGCATCTATCTGTTCATTCTCCGTAGGTCATACATACCTGTCTTGTAATGGTACCGTCAGCATACACTCCTAATTATTGTAAAGATTTTCGATTTCCTCTTTGAAAAAAGTGAGGAATTTGTTTGGGATTTTTGTCTTCAATATAGGACTGCTTTTGTCATTGTAATGAGTTTAGTTTGATTGTTGTTGTTAAGTGCTGTTGAGTGGATTCCAACCCATAGTGACCCTGTGTATGGTTTCCAAGGAGTAGCTGGTGAGCTTGAACCACTAACCTTGCAGTTCAAGAGACTTTGCCATCTGATACATTAGCCCACAGTGCCACACCAGGACTCCTTAGTTTGATTGTTGTTGTTGTTATGTGCTGTTGAATCAATTCCGACCCATAGCAACCCTATATAGGGTTTCCTAGGAGCAGCTGGTGAGCTTGAACTGCCAACCTTGCAGTTTAAATGGCTTTGCAGTCTGGTGCATTAGCCCACAGCACTACACCAAGACTCCCAAATTGTCTTTCAGTCTCCAGGCCAATACTGTAATCTGCCTGGTTGGTCCTACCAGCTTGTTGTCTCAAAGACACTTCAAATCCATTCTGACTAAATACAAACTAAAGATTCTTGCCTCCCCACCCCCACCCCCCATCTCCAATCTGATTCTCTTCTGCTGAGAATTAGTTCATGCATACTTTAGATTCCCCTTGGATCCATCATCTTTATTCAAACTCTTTTCTAATCACCAACAACTGAGTTCATAGTCCCTCCTGAATATCTCTGCAGTCAGTTCACTTTTTGTCAACATGTTCACCACAATGGTCCAGATCCCACTCCTCTCCCACTTGGACTCTTGCCCATCTCAGTTTCCAGATTGTAGTCATGCAATCTTGTGACTTGTAAATGTGAGTATGTTATCACTGACCACCCTCATAAATCCAGTGGCTCTCTGGTATGCACAGACTACATGGGGACTCTCTGAGTCCCATGTGATTTGACCTGTTTCACCTTTCTCCCACTTACTCTCTGCTCATTATCCCTCCAGTCCTCATTTGAGTTCCTGCTTTGTGTTACTTGGAAAGTGAGTTTCATCTTCTCTAAATAACTTCTTTGTGTCAAGTGTGTTCTTGACATGTTATATGCATTAGTGAGTACAGCAGACAGAAAGCCCTGACATTTTAGTTATTTTTCCCCAAAAACGTTTAGGATATATTTATAAATTCTTCAGATCCATGGCTCAGGGACTTTAGACATGATTAGTGTTGTGAAGTGCTGTCGAGTTGATTCCAATTCATAATGACCCTGCATGGGGTTTCCAAGGAATACTTAGTGAGTTTGAACCACAAGGTCTGTGGTTCAGACTGACCTTGCAGTCCAGTGCTTTATCCCACAGCACCACACCAGGACTCCACATATATAGTTGTTTTTCTTGATAAGTGCCGTCGAGTTGGTTCCTATCCATAGCGACCCTTGTATAGGGTTTCTGAGGAACAGCTGGTGAGCTTGAACTGCCAACATTGCAATTTAAATAGACTTGGCAGTCCAGTGCATTACCCCATATCACCATGTATATAGTTGTTGTTGCTCTGTGCCGTGGAGTGTGTTCCGAGGCTGTAAATCTTTACGGGAGCAGAAAGCCTCATCTTTCTCACGCGGAATGGCTGGTAGTTTTGAACTGCCTACCTTGAGGCTTGCAGCCTGATTTGTAACCACTACGCTACCAGAGCTCCTGTTAAGTGCTGTCAAGTTGGTTCCTACCCATAGTGACCCTGTATAGGGTTTATAGTGGCCTCAATAAATAATTATTGAAGAAATAAACAAATTCCCAAAACATCATTAGCGAATAATCAAATGGGCAGCTTCATGGAAGATTTTGTGAAATTCAGATTTCCTTTTTCAGAAACAGCGCTAGTATAAAAACCTATTAGTTGCTATTAGATAACAGTTATATCAAGAATTTTAAGGGTGTGAATGGTTATGTTGGTTACCAAAGGCTATATTTGATTTATTGATTGATTCATTCATTCATTTGAGAAATACTTAGTGAATACTTATCATGTCCTGGTGTGGCACCGTAAGATGAGCACTGGACTTCTAACGACAAGGGCGTTTGTTCAAACTCAGCAACCATTGCTTAGAAACCCTCTACGGGAGGGGTGGGGGAACCTCCAGCCCACAGGCTGTATAAGGCTGTGAAATCATTTGGTCTGGTCCTAGTAATGCAACTGTAGTTCCAGCCATCACATTACCGGTGAGTTAATTAAATGCTTGCCCAAATGTAGCAGACTGATGTTTAAGTTGATAATTTTGTATGGTCGGTGAATGATGTTACAAATTTTGGCATAAAAAATTTCCCACTCCTGCTAGACAGGATTGCTGTCAATCTGAATGGACTGGACAGCACTTACTAACAACAGCTTGTCGTGTATCAGGCAACAGTTAAAGTGTCCTAATCCTTGGGTTTGGGGGCTTGCAGTGGTGGTGCCAACCACCTGCTCTGTAATTGGGGGAATCTTTCTATATGAAACAATTTATTGTGTGTAGTCCTGTCTTCTCTTGTGAGTGATGAGGATACTGTGCTTTACTGACAGTAGGAGGAGGTTGAAAATGGAAAGGATCTTTGCTTGATTTGTTCACTGAAATCATTAAGAACTTTCTCATTCTGATATTTCTGAGCTTTTTCCTTTAAAAATCATATATGCAAACCCAGAATCAGTGAGCTCTGCTTCCTCCTAGTCCTTCAGGGCAGTGTTCACTAAAATTCAATCATGACCTTAATGAACATCATCATGATGTCAACTCATCTCTGCAGCCCCTCTGGAAAGAAGACATTGAAATGCAGCTCATTTTACAATCTGCATTCCCAGTTTGACCTTACCTTACATTCTTGAGGTAGCAGCATTACTTATAAGTTAAATAATGCTTCAATTAGAGTGTAATCACCTCGCTGATTAGAGGATTATTGAAGAATTAAAAGGACTAATACTAAAAGGCCTAACAGCTCGGTTTGCTCGAAATAAGGTCTGTAATAAATGATTTCCCCCCTTCAGGACCTCAAAACCACAAGGTATTTGTGATATTTTACAACCAATCAAACTCTATTTTGACGTGTAAGGAAATGAACCATATAATTATTTTGCCAATATAAGCTCTTACTGTTTGGTGATTTACACTGAGGTCACAAATTTACTAGCCAAGCCAATGAAATAAACCACAATGCAGGTAAGGACAAAATAAAGTGATGTGTTTGCTGCTTTGTTTCTGAGGGGAGTTCCTTTCTTGGTGCTGGTGTCTGAATATTTCTCTTTCTTTTCTGTCTCATTCCTGCTATTCCTTTGGAGAAGAAGGGGTACACACCGAGGAACTGGACAGTGAACTAGGTAAACCTCCCAGCCTCCTGCTACTGCATGATTCACCCTGCATGAATTTTCTTCAGTGAATTGCTTAATCCCTCTGTTTCTTTTTTTGCACTTCTCCAATTATGATTTTCATTCCAGCATGTCAATGAAAGGTCAACATAGCAACCCGTGTGTCTGACAGCAGGCATCACACAGAGTTGTAGTAAATTGTGTCTGCAAAGCAAAAACGAGTGAATTGAGGCTAGAAGAATGATGCTGCTGCTGCGTGCCGTGGAATCAGTTCTGACTCATAGCAACCCTGTGCAGGATTTCCGAGGCTGCAAATCTTTACAGGAGCAGAACTTCTCCTCTTTCTCCCAGGGAACAGCTGGTAGTTTCGAACTGCTGACCTTGTGGTTTGCAGCCTGATTCGTAACCACTATACTACCAGAGCTCCTTAGAAGAATGCTAGCACCTGGAAAATAGGTAGTCTTGTAAACCAAGGATTGGGTAAGAACTGAGGAAATGGTTGTTGTATCCTTGGGACTTTGATGTAACCCATCCTGACCTTAGTTCATTATTTGTTTAGTAGTGGTGCATATTTACATGGGTAATACAAAAAAGCAAAAAGCAAAGGGCAACTTGTAAACAACATCCCACAAGACTAAATTAAGGATGTTGTATCAGTGGTGGTGGTGGTTATGTGCCATGGAGTCGGTTCCAACTCATAGTGACCCTGCATTGGATTTCTGAGACTGTAAATCTTTACGGAAGTTGAAAGCCACATCTTTTGTGGAACCACTGGTGATTTTGAACTGCAGACTGTGAGATTAGCGGCCAGCCTGATTCGTAACCACTATGATACCAGAGCTCCATGTTGTAGGGGCGGTGATGGTAGTTACGTGCCTTGGAGTCGGTTCTGACTCATAGCAACCCTGTTCAGGGATTCTGAGGCTGTAAATCTTTATGGAAGTTGAAAGCCTCATCTTTCTTCCATGGGACAGCTGGTAGTTTCAAATTGTAGATCTCGTGGTTCGCAGCCCGATTCGTAACCAGTACACTACCAGAACTCCATCATTCCAATAGTTACTTGAATATTAAGTCTTAGTCTGATAATGTTTTTAAGTCACATGCTCCACATGTTGGCCTTCTCACTATTGTGAATGACTTGAGAATTAGATGTGTGCTTCTATACATCATTTTCTTAGAGTATATATATTAATGTAAATCAACTCTTAACTGCTCTAGATTTGGTAGTTCAGAAATAATTTACATTACCAGATAATGCTAAATTCTTTTCTTTCTTGTTGGAATATATTGAGTTATGTTCCCTGCTAATTTAAATGGTTTATGTTCAACTTGGAGCAATATTAACATTAATTTGTATTCCATCTGATTTATCCACTGAGGGCTAGATGGAGAAGCACAAGTTTCATCTGAACTGCAGATGAAAGCCTTGCTAATTGAAAATTGACTGTAGTGTTTATGCTAAATAGAAGATCATCAATATGAGTAGAACTATCTGTCCTAAGCTAATTGAATCTTCCTAACATTTTTGAGATTACCTTAAGAACTGAAAATAGCAAAGAATTTTAATACAAATGATTGTTTTCTGTATATTTATGTAGATAATCACAGTTGACCAGAGGTGGGATATGATAAAATTTATCTTTGTTTTTCTTACATTTTGAATCATAACCCAATTTTAATTGATGGATATGCTATTATAATGGTCAATAGCTACTGGTAGATCTACTTTTAAAGATACTTAATAAGTTTCCCTTTAATCATTTTGGTAAAAATAGCTTGTTGTTGTTAAATGTCATGTTGGTTCTGACCCGTAACAACCCTGGGTAGGGTTTCCTAGGAGCAGCTGGTAAGCTTGAACCGCTGACCTTGCATCTAAGTCGACTTTGCAGTCTAGCACTTTAACTCTGTATTTTCTGAAACTGAGTTTTTCAGAAAAGAATCTGTTGAACTCAGTGATACTAGGTAAGTAATTGAAATAGACACAACTAGGGTTTCCAGACACAAAAGGAGTATATTGATCAATTTAAAGTACTTGTGGTACCTGGATGATATAGGCCCATCGCTGTGTCCCTAAGATAGGTGGTCAGTAGAGACAGCACAGCTCTGCTCAGGGGCCCAGCCTTGTGGAAGATCAGAAGTGGAAATCTTAAGGAAAGAAGCGTCTATATGGGTTCTCATAACTGTGATACTGTGAGAACATTGTTCTTGTGTTAAAGACTCTAAAAAAAAAAAAGAATTTTAATGGCTGTACCAAATCCCTACTCAATGCCACAGCCGCTCTCCTGGGTAAGGTTTGATGAGTGGCGTGTTTGCCTCTGGGGCATATCTGACTGTCTGGCTTCAAATCCTGGCTTCTCTACTTATTTGCTACATGTCCTTAGGCAAGTTATACAACCTCTCTTGGCTTCCCTTTCCTTATTTGTAAGGAGGGGCTTAAACACTAGTTCCCATGATGCTTCTGAAGAGATTTAATGAGAGTGTCTTAATATCTGCCCTTGTGCTCTGTGGTGGTGGTGGTGGTAGTGGTTATGTGCCATGGAGTCGGTTCTGACTCATAGCAACCCTGTACATTGTTACCAATTTTATTATTTTTTGATTCATTCTCTTTTGTTGAAATTTTAGTACTTCCTATGCTCCTCTTTTTCCCTCTTAAAACAGGACAGGAGGGGATATGTGCTATAGAAATAGCCCAAGTGTGCCCTTGTAGGTAGCTTAGAGAGATGACCCTTGATTTTTGTCTACACGTGTCTGGAATATAAAGAGTGGCTCTCACAGACACACAAACTGTATTCTGTTTCATTTGCTCTCCAGATTCTATTGACAGACTCAGTGCCTGTTTTCTTAATAGGAGGATCCTAATTTCAAACAATAGCAACTGTCAAGATTTTCTGCGAACAATGAGATTCCAGATGTGACAATGAAACCCTCTTTATAATCTGCCTCTGAGGAGCGTGGGTGGTTGGCTTGGGTATTGGACAAAGATTTGATTATTATAGACTTGTCATTTCTGAACTCTGTTGTTTGAGCTGGGTCAGTGGCTCCACTGTGCACTTTTGCTTTGCAGAATTTATCATCTTCTCTGCAGATACTGCCCAGAGTCAAGAACACTTATAGAATCTTCTTTAGGAATTATAGAATATTTATGTTGTGATACAGCGTGAGAGTTTTGGAAGCAGAAATAGTTAGCATGTAGGCCGCATCGATCTGTCATACTCCTTTCGCTTTTTCTTGGGACAGTTGCTATTTCTTGAACACTTCTGTATGCCGAGTGCTGTCTGTGCTAAGTGATTTTCTAGCATCAGCATCTCATCCACAGTCAAGCTTTGAGGTAAATCCAGGCAGAAGATATGGTTCAGAGACCCAGTGCCACAAAACAGTGAAGTAATAGAGCTCAATTCCAGATTTTGACAACCTCCAGAAGGGTTCAGTGACCCTATATAGCATTTCCAAGAATCTGTGGGTGAGTTTGAATTATAGACCTTGTGGTTAGCAGTCCAGTGCTTATCCTAGAGCATCATACCAGGGCCCCAAAAGGATTTTGTTGTTAAGTGCCGTCAAGTCAGGTCTGACCCATAGCAACCTGAAATAGGGTTTCCAAGAGCAGCTGGTGAGCTTGAACCGCAGACCTTGCAGTTCAAGTGGCTTTTCAGTCTGACGCATTTACCCACAGTGCCACACCAGGACTGCAAAAGGGTTCTAGTTGCCTGTAATTTCTCTGGCATTCTTGTCTATTGCCTCAACATATGAGGGTGACTCTTCAGTTAATTTCAGAGTTTTTCAGTAAAGGAAATGTTCTTGTCATTATTTTCTGGAGTCCTGGTGATGCAGTGATTACTTGTTGAGCTACTAACCAAAAGGCCGGTAGTTCAAACCTACCAGGTGCACTGTCAGAGTAAGATGAGGCAGCTTGTTTCTGGAAAGATTATGTCCTTAAAGACTTCAGGGTTCAGTTCTCCTCTGTCCTATGGGTCACAGTGAGTTGGAATTGACAACAATGAGTTAATTATTTTCTGGACTTAAATATTTTCTCCCATTTCCAGTTTCTTCTTAAACCAAATGGCAAGTTCTAGGACAAACATCTTCCTTTTTTAAAATTGATGACCCATTTCTATTTTAAGCATTAGGAGACTAATTCCTATTATTAAGATAATCACCACATTGGAAGTGAGAAATCTATCTTTTCAATTGAAAATGAGTTTTAACTTCAAAAAGTGGAAAATTTATGGGGTTTACTCATCTCTTGCAGAAGATGGAAGAGTTTAAATTTACAAATGTCTTCAGAAATCATAACTCCAGAAGTGTAAGTTGTTGACTGCATAAAACAAAAAAGCCCAAAGAAGACTTCCTTCCTTATACCTCCCATGCTTGTACATTAAAACACTTACCATGAGGTCTTTTGATTGTTTGGATAGTGGTCTTCCAATGTCTTTGAATCCCCAGTGATTAACACAGATTAACACATCCATCTGTAGAGTTTTGCTGTTGTCTGCTGTCCAGTTGATTCTGACTCCTAATGACCCTTTGTATAACAGAATGAAACATTAGCTAGGCCTGTGCCATCCTCACAATTGTTATGTTTGAGCCTTGTGTTGAAGCCACTTTGTCAATCCATGTTTTGGGGAATCTACTTCTGTTTTCCCTCGTTATCTACTTTACCAAACATAATGTCTTTCTCCAAGAACAGGCCCCTCCAATAAATGTTTTTCTAATTAATAATTGAGTGAATGAATCCTCGATGTTTTCCTCGATATATTTCTCTAAAAATAACCGGGCTAACTAGTTTGGCTACAGACTTTGAAGAGGTCTGGGTTCCATTGAATATTAAGTGGTTCCCTCACATTCACACACTTTATGCCCCATACCATAACACACGGAAGGCTGTGCACAAGTTTGTGTATTTTTAATGTTTGGTTTTCTAACTCTAATTTCCTAGTTCATTTTCATTTAAGTGTTAATTTCCAGCTTTGTAAGGGGAAGCTGGAGTCCTTTTATGGCGCTGCAGGATAATGCACTGGACCACAAGATTGGTTTGAGCTTTAAGGTCAACAGTTCAAACCCACCAGCCACTCCTCAGAAACCCTAGACAGAGTCGCTATAAGTTGGAACTGATTTGTTGGCACTTAGCAACAACAACCAAGGGGAAACCGTTTCCAAAGCATCTGATTTGCTTCAGTCCCTAAACTTAGGGTATAAACATGACAAGTTTTATCAACATCTGCAGATTGGACATGTCTTGCATTTTAGTTATTGTATCTCCCAGAATTCAAAGACTGAAACCCACTTAGTATTTATTTTAAAAACAAAATTAGAATAAGGGGAAAACCTGTCTTTTTGTTTGCCAACAAGTAACGTGGAACAAAAATCATGAAGTTAATGCCTCTTGATGTGCAGCCAAATCTAAACTAAACAGAAACTTTGAGTGATTAATGTGTGTGTGTTTGTGTGTATGTGAGTGTCTCCATATCAGTCTGGGACTGTTTGTGGCAGGTGTAAAACCTGTGCCTTGATGTATTGGTCACTATTTGAGAACAGTGACCACATGATTCCTTGATTTAAATAATGTAATAATGTAACATAATGATATTTCAAGCCACTTATCGAAGTGGCTTGATAAAATAAATACTGTGCTTCATAGCTGCTTACAGAATATAGTATTGTACAAGATTGTGTTAATGTCATATATATGAGAGGGTCTCCAATAGTGTGTGAGAAAGTTCCATTATCTTCTCATTTCATTTTTCCATGAAGTTTTTGAAGTCCTCTCTTGTTAAGATGAACAGTTGCTGCTGTTCTTAAAAGGAGTGTTTAATGAAATAAAACACGTCCTGTTTGCTTCTCTCAGTAACTGCAGTAATCGGGTACAATAGACTTTTCCACAATAGATTATTGTTGCCTCAGAATTTCCTGTTAACGTAGCTATAATAAAGTTCCTACCTGTGATTATTAACCTTACAAAATAAAGTCCAACAGAGTGTATGGTTGAGTTCCCAGAAAGACACATACATACCTCAGTGCCCTTCTTAGTGGTCGTGGTTATGTGCCGTGGAGTCGGTTCTGACTCATAGCGACCCTGCACAGGGCTTCCGAGGCTATAAATCTTATGGGAGCAGAAAGCCTCATCTTTCTCCCGCGTAACAGCTGGTAGTTTCAAGCTGCTGACACTGAAATTAGCAGCCCAAGTCGTAACCACTACGCTACCAGAGCTCCCTGCCCTTCTTATTGGTGTTGGAGGTGGTTATGTACCAATCGAGTTGATTCTGACTCATAGTGACCCTGTATAGGGTTTCTGAGGCTGTAAATTCTTTATGGGAGCAAAAAGTCTCATCTTTCTCCCTTAGAACAGCTGGTAATTTCGAACTGCTGACCTTAAGGTTCGCAGCCCAGTTCATAACCACTACACTATCAGAGCTCTTTCCCCTTCTTAGTATTACATTTAAAAGAATCAAATCTGCACCATGAATATTGAGCTCTTGGAGACCAAGGCCTCTCTCACTGCTTTCCTCCTTAAAGTGTTTAGAAGATGGTTGGATACAGTGATTGAGGCACAGACATATGCAATTCAAAACCCCACCTCCTTGTAGACTTTTTATGGACTAGGAATAAGGAGGAAATAAGAATACAAATTTTAATTATTCCATGGAGCGCAAAACAGCACTTATTGTATTAAAAATGAAAGGAAACATTAATTTTTGTCTGGTTTTTTTTTTTTTTTTTTTTTTTTTTTTTTTTTGCTTATTTAGTAAGGTAGTCAAGAAAGAAAATGAGAAACTATAAATATTTAAAATAGAAACTAGGCATTCAAAGCAAATTTTATCTCTGTTTCTATTAAAACCTAATTTAATAGCTGACTAAGAATGAAGGCATCTGGAGCTGTATTTCATTAAAGTTTTACTTTCTTATGTAAAATATCAATAGATAAAGAACTACTTTTCATGTAGGGAATCACACTGTTTTGCTAAATAAAAATAGTGCATGCTGGTTTTTATTGTTAGTATACACGTTTTTATTTGGCTAAAAGGTTTTGTTTTTTTGTTGTTGTTTTGTTAATGAGCTTTTATCTTTATGCTTTACTCGATAGTTGAAAATCCATAGGTCCTACAACAATAGGGATTGCTTGTTCTAAATATTCCTTTCTTTTTCAGAACTGCCTGCTGGTTGGGAAAAGATTGAAGACCCTGTATATGGTATCTACTATGTAGAGTAAGTACTTGTTAATCTATATCTTCTTTATTTTGTTGTTGCTGCTAAGTACAGTCCAATCAGTTCTGATTTATAGCGACCCTGTATAGGGTTTCCAAGGATGTAAGTCTTTGCGGGAGCAGAAAGTCTCCTCTTTCTCCTGCCAACTTTGTGGTTCAGAGTCTGGAAGTACCTCTCTGTAATTATGCATGCTCTACATGGAGTCCAGGTGTGGCACTGTGGTTAATGCACATGACTATAAAGTCAGTTTGAACCACAAGGTCGGCAGTTCAAGCTCACAAACCGCTCCTTGGAAACCCTATATGGATTGCTTCAGGTCAGAACCTACCCAATGGCACTTAATAACAACAACATGTTCTACATACTTTGCTTCACTATAAGGTACCGATACTAAATAACAGTAATAGTACTAATGTGATATTAGTTTGATGAGGGCGTTGGTGGGTTAGTGGAAAACTTCTCACCTTCCATTTTTGCAAACCTGAGTTCGATACCTGACCAGTGTCAGCTGTGTGTCAGTGGAAGTTTGTGTGAGCCTGTGATGCTGTGATGATTCAAGAGAACTTTAGCCTGCAGCAACAGGAAGCATCTCATTCCATTGTGCCTTGTATCCCTCGCCATGACTTGAGAGCTGTTTCCAATTCAGCTGTCAACACAACATTTGTTTTATAATGCAAAATGCGTACATTTTAATGATTGAGAAAATAGTCAGAAAATCCAAAGGTAGTCAATTCCTGAGGGCAAGATTAGCGTCTATTTCATTTACCACTTTTCTACCAGGCTCAGCATGATCCAGGCTGATAAGATCTCAGCAGATTCTTAAAAAGTATTAGCTGAATGAATTGAAAAAAACAGCTTTCAATAGACCAAGTGAATAGAGTGTATTTCTCTTCAGGTGAAAAACCTGTTTTGCGTATTTTTGCCCTGTTCACATCTAAACTTCTCAGTAACTTCTTAGTTGTCCACTGAGATATTCTAAAAGTGTCAGACAGTTCTTAATAACTAATGAAATGTCAAAATTAAAAAGGACACGGTGAGCCATTCTAAGAGGCAAGAGCTTCTATGTGTGGTGCTCTGAGTTAATGCACCAGACTGCAAAGCCATTTGAACTGCAAGGTTGGCAGTTCAAGCTTACTAGCTGCTCCTTGGAAACCCTATACAGGGTCGTGATGGGTCGGAACTGACTCGACAGCACTGAACAACAAAAACAACAACTTCTCCCTTGCCCAAGGTCCATGCATGTGGCTTCCCTTCCTGTTTTAAAGTCTCACACCCCACCATTCTGACCTCTTTCCTGTGCACCTCATTCTAGCACTAGGTGCATGTTTTCACTAGGACTCACAGATTGATGGTTTAGTGCTGGAACCTTCACCTTCCCGTAATTTTCCATTGTGCATGAGGTCACCATAAGTAGGGGTCCCCCTTGAGAGCAGGTAACTGTAACAACAGTCTATTGATACAAGAAATGATTTTTTTAAAATCTAAGGGATAAGACATTGAAAAATATACTTCGTATTATTTTCTCTTAGGTTATTGTTGTTAAGTGTCGTGGAGTCGGTTCCGACTCATAGTGACCCTGCACAGGGTTTCCGAGACTGTAAATCTTTATGGTAGCAGAATGCCTCATCTTTCTCCCGTGGAACCACTGGTAGTTTTGAACAGCTGACCTTGCGGTTGGCAGCCCGACTTGTAACCACTACGCTACCAGAGGTCCTAGATGAGAAATAACAAAGTGTCCTTTGAAAGACACAGATGTCATATAAATAAATAGGCTGTACTCATAATCATACCTGCCATAATGAAGGTAGCTGGCATGCTTCCCGCTCACTCACACTGCTGGCAGTGAAAAGTCATTTGTTTAACAGCTTGGTGATGTGAACCCATGGTGTGAAAATGCCGGTTCGTAAAATACTCCGCATCGTATTGTAAAAAATTATGAGTTCAATATAGCAGTCATCCTTGGCCAATAATAATATTACTTTCTCTTTACGTAATAAGGAGGAATGGTGATTGGGGCAGAAGAGTAAGACTGTTGTTTCCCTGACCTGCTGTGTACCCACAGACCATCCTTCTCAAAAGATGTGCGGAGGGGTGTCTGCCCATGGGAGGCTTATTTTGAACTCACCGTCAACTATTTTGTCTATCAGGAAGGAACAAGGGATTACAGCTTTGGTGGGTGAAGAGACATAGTTTGAAGGGCGAGTCTTTGTCTTACTGTATATTTCAGTATACTGTATGTTTCAGATCCTCATACCTTTTTATATTAGGCTATTTCTTAGATTGAAGTTGCCAGCAAGCATTAGGAAATGTAAGAGTAGGCCTGAAATAAACAGTAAGGGTCTGCAGTGTAACTATCTGCTTTCTAACCTGCCTCAATTCTCTCCTGTGGCTTTAAAAATATTTAAAGTTCTAAATGCACAGTTAGTCTATTCCCAAACTTCTAACAAAGCATAGTATATACATGTGAATATGTGTATGTTTGTATGTATGTATGTTTGTATAATGTGTATGTTCAATTACACAGTGAAACCTGTGAGAGCCGGAACGCAATGGGACCACCTAGGTTTTCAGCGTCTTGCAAGTTTGCCATCTTTTACATTGTTGTCTACTGAGAATCCTGCCTCTTAAACACCCGTGACTTTTCCTTATGGGTTTCACAGGTTTTACTGTGTGTGTGATGTGTATGTGTGTGTGTGTATATATATGTGTATATGTATGTATATATGTGCGTGTATATATATGTTGTTGTTGTTGTTGTTAGGTGCCATGTAGTCGGTTCCAACTCATAGCGACCCTGTACAGGGTTTCCCAGACTGTAAATCTTTACACAAGCAGAAAGCCTCATCTTTCTCCCACGGAACGGCTGGTAGTTTTAAACTGCTGACCTTGTGGCTCGCAGCCCAATTTGTAACCACTATGCTACCAAAGCTCCATATGTATAAATACACAGAGAGAGAGAGAGTGTTTGTGTGTGTCCTGGTATGTCACTGTAAGATAAGTGTTGGACCACAAGGTTAGTTTGAACTGCAAGGTGGGCATTTGAAACCCACCTGCTTCTCCTTGGAAACCCTATATAGGGTCACAGTGAGTCTGAACTGACTTGTCAGCATTAACAACAGCTATGACATATGTTGTTGTTTCTTATTAAGTGATGTTGAGCTGGTTCCGACTCATAATGACCCTGTATAGGGTTTACAGGCTGGTGGGTTTGAACCACTGACATTGGGGTTCAAGTTGATCTTGTGATCCATTGCTTTGTCTTACTGTGCCATACCATATCTTCATATGGTGGTGGTGGTGGTGTGCTGTGGAGTCAGATCCAACTCATAGCCACCCTTCATAGGGTTTCTGAGGCTGTAAATCTTTTACAGGAGCTGGACGCCTCATCTTTCTATCATGCAATGATTGGTAGTTTCGAACTTCTGGCAATATATATGAGGAGTGGCTGGTGAGCTTGAACTGCCAACCTTGTGGTTCAAACTGACTTTGCAGTCCAGCGCATTAACCCACAGCGCCGCACACATCTGCTTAGGTTAGCTTTATTTGGAGTCTGTTTACCTAAGGTGTATACTTTTAATACTGTCTGTGTGTCTATTGTTTAAAATAGCTAATAGATGTTAGTAGAATCCTTCTTTAATTGTTCTGGTGGAGTGTATAGGCCTCTGTGAAACTTACTGTAGGAAAGTTAGGCAGTCTGAAATTACATATTAGTGTCATGTCTCTCCTTAAATCTCATTTTCCACAATCCTATAATCTGCTTTTTACTGAATTAGAAGCTTACTGTGTCAGGTAAAACCTTGAACAGTTAGGGAGAGTCAGTGGTTAAAATCATGGAATTTGAAAGCACACAGACCTGAGTTTGCACACCTCTTTTACCACTCACTACAGGTGTTATGGTAGTTGCCTGATTTTCTAACTGTTCAGGAATTTACTTTCTTTATTCATAGTGTATGAATGAAAATAAGACCTGCCTGTGGCCTTCACTGTGGATTTTAAGATGTAACGCATGCAAATCAGGTAGCGCAATGCCTGGTAGAGTTAGCAGTCAGTGTATGGAAGCGATTTAATTTTTATTTCCTCTCCCTAACTACACATTTTGACACAAGATGATAAACATCTCAGACCGCCTGCTTTGTTCATTTCTAATCACAGAACTTGGCTTGGCTGACATTTTGCTTGTGGGCTGAAATGTTTCCTAACTGAATAGAGTATTTTCCTTCTTCCCCAGCCACATCAACAGGAAGACACAATATGAGAACCCAGTTCTGGAAGCCAAACGGAAGAAGCAGCTTGAGCAGCAACAACAACAACAACAACAACAACAGCAGCCGCAACAGCCGCCACCAGAAGGTTGGCTTTCCCTGTGAGGCTGGCTCTTGAGCTGTGGGCGCAACTCAGCCTGGGTGCTGACACCCCCTTGTGGCCAAAACTGGTCTTGAAGAAGTGCAGTCTGAGGCCCTAATTTAAAGGCATCCAGTTTCCACTCTAATTTAGAAAGTGGAGATTTTAAATGTTGTCTCAGTCGCTATATTACACAGTGTTCTATTGAGAAGAGAATTTTCTTGCCCCACCAATATTTACACAGCAACTTGCCTCTCGATCTAAACCACTTGGAGCTCTTTTACTCTTACGTGGAGTTGCTGGGCATAAAATAAATTTTAATTTTAGGAGCATTACTTATAAAGAGTCAGGAAAAGCTGAAGAATACTTTTTTCACACTTAGAAATTATTTTCTCCTCTTCATTAAAAAATATGAATGATTCAGAATTAGAGAGCATTAAATGCTTCCCTGCTTGCCCCATTCCGTTCTCAGTGATAAAATGCAGAAATTTCCTAGGAACCCACAGATGTGTATATTTTAATAGAATTCAGACCATACTACATATGCTGTTTCATGATCTGTTTTGATAACTTATATTTCTTACACATCTTTCCACGTTGGTTAATAGAGATTTACTTTATCATTTTTAATGACTGTAAGTTATGTGCTGTTTTATGAATATCTCAGCTTCGTTTACCCCTTTACTGATAGATCCTTAGGTTTTTCTTAGTTTTTCTTTGTGATCTTTTAAAAATATTGGCTTAATACACCCCACCCTCAGTGTTTGTCTATAGTCTTAATATGTGAATATCAAATCAGACACTTATTATTTTTGTACCAGATATTATAAATTAAGATCCTAGACCAGGGTTAACAGAGCTTTTATGCACATGGCTAGATAATAAGTATTTTAGTCTTTGCAGACAATGTAGTCTCTGTCACAACCATTATACTTTGCTTTTGCAGCCAGAAAACAACCAGAGACAATATGTAAAAAAATAGGTAGGTCTATTTTCCAATAAAATTTTATTTATAAACACTGAAAATAGAATTTTATATAATTTGCATGTCACAAAATATCATTTGTTTTCATTGTTTTAAACCTTTGAATTGTTTTAAAAGCCAGTCTTGAGTCCTGGTGGGATACATATATAGCCCAAGTGCTCATGGTTTCCCCTGCACTGATAGAGACTTTATATATCCATGTTTATGGGTATACATTTACCTAAGAGTTTAAAGCTGTCTCTACCTCAGTCGCTTTTCTATTTCTTTTCCTTCAGTGTTTTAATATGTTTCCTGAGCTCGTGAAACTTTGTAGAGTCAGAAAGTCCACTTTGGGGAATAGATGTGTGCAATTAGATATAGTTAGGAGAGCTGGAAAGTGATTTTGGGGTAAATATCAAGTGTCATTCACAACTATTTATTTCTGGACCTCTACAATAAATACAACTACCTTTAGGATCCGAGAGTATTGGGAATGGTTCTCAATTGGATTTCATTTGAGATAATAGCAATCGGCACCTTTGCAAAACTGCTGAAATCCATCTTTACTACGTAAACCAAACAGGCATCTACAGTCCAGCCCATCTCTCCATTGCATGAGAGAAATGGCTCTCTTCTGGGGATGGCCTTAGTGGACTTTCCATCTTCCCTGACATTTCTTAGTTGCCCTCATGTTGGACACAACAGCTAGAGAGAGCTGGAGATTTGTTTTTTATTAGTTCCATCCTATTTATTTTCCCAAAGGTCTTACATCAAAGAGAGTGAAAGAGAGAGCGAGCAAGAGAGGGTTCAAAATCAAGATCTAGATATCCTTAACATAAAGCAGTTTCAGATAACAATTTTCTTTTAATTCAAGCTCTCTGCCCCTGGCTTTATTGGTTTGGGTGTCTTGTTAAGAAAGTGAATCCTGAGTAAGTCAGCCAGTCATGTGAAGGAAAAACGTGTAACGGTCTCCTCTCTTTTATAGAATGGACAGAAGATCACTCAGCCCTTGTGCCTCCTGCTGTTCCAAACCATCCCCCAAGCAATCCAGAGCCAGCCAGAGAAGCTCCACTTCAGGGTAAAGTGGTTTTTGTAATTGCATCATGGTTTTAGATTTAAAAATCTAATTTATTTTAAAAAGTAGACTCTTGTAACTCTCAAAGTCATTCCTTAGATAGTGAAACACATGAACAATGAATTTAAATGTATTTTTGCTCAGATTTGTCAAGAAAAATTAGAAACATTCTGATTAAATTTATTCAACTCTACCTGTAACTCTCTAAGAAATAATGACTCCTTGTTAACAGCCATATAAAAAGCAGTGTTCCTCAACGTCAGCAGTCATGACATTTTGGATTGGCTGCTCCTTTGTTTCCAGGGGGTGGTGTACTGTGCATTGTAAGGTAGTTAGCTGCATTCCTGGCCTCTACCCATTAGATGCCATTAGCAATGTCTTCACACCCCACTATCACAGCAGAATGGCAACCAGTTGGCTTCTTGGGGGACAGAATCACTCCTGGGTTGTCAACTCTTTTTTTTGTGTGTGTGAATTATGTGATCGTTTACATAGGAGAACATTAGTTTTACATTCATCCTATCATATATCGTTTCATTGCTGTGGTTACAATCCCTTCCATGCATCATCAAACAACCAAAGGGCATATCCTGCAAGCCTGCCTCCCGGCTGTCAGCACACAGTCCCTCTCCCTCTCTGGGTCTAATGTCCCTAGCTGCTTCATCTCTCCACGTCGTCGTCTCTGCCTCCATCTCTAGTGTCACTGCTTCTCTAGGTAGGGTCCCACTCTCCGCTCTTCTCCCTTGATGGTCCCAGGGACCTCCGCTCCTAGACTGCAAAGTTAATCACTCCCCTCCTTGCTACAAAACATCTACCTTTAAATTTCCAACCCTCACAAGCAGTCCTGATAACAATTATTCACTAATGTATCACAAGAGACCTATCCTCATTTCCTTTCATCAGTCCCACCTAGAAAGATTGTATACTACTCAGTGGAGATTCTACCTTCCTCCATGCCCTCTGGATCTAGGTTCCCTCCTGAAAGCTTGTAAGCCAGTCATTTCTTGCCTTTGTAGCTACCCCCCTCCCATTTTGGGTAGCCAATGTCCAAGTTGCCCATCCCTGTCTACTCTGTGTATGGAGGGGATTGGAATGATCCTTGCTGTAAAGATTTGGTCCCTCTTTTGAGCTACTGCTTTCAAAGGTGTAGGTCAAGTTCATCAAATTATATCAGATTACTCTTTTTTTCCCTCTTCTTTTTCTTCTGGTTGAGCTCTGATCATCCAGTCATTGAAGCCAGGTCAAGTGGGTATTATCTGCAAGTGTGGGTGTTCTTATGGATATGCCCTCTCTTCTTATCATCTGGATGCTTCACTCTCCACTCTACTCCTCTGTGGCTATGTCACTGACTCTGGGCCAATAGGTCCCCAGGTCTTGCAACACTGCTGGCCGACAAGGTCTCCACCAGGATTCACAGGAGTCTATTGAACGTTGTAGGGCTTAGCTCACAGGTTCTTTGCTACTTTTCCCTCACTTCCCTTATCAGTGATGAAAGTGGTCACCAATCAGAGCGTGTATTCCCATTGAGTCTTAGTCTTGGAAGGGCGTAGGTTGTAAACTCTTGATTTAGAGATTGTATCTCTTTACTATTGTGTTAACTAAGATATAGTAAAAAGTCAGTATTTCATATTTCAAGATTGTTTCTGGTTAACATAATTGCTTTCGACAAAGATTTCCCTGTGAATGTAAATGGTTTGATATTATTGTATTTTAAGTGCCCGTCCCTTCCCACCTTGTGACACAGTTCTGGCATTCTGCATGTTTTAAGATGTTTCAGTTCATCTCATTTAGTTTGATTCACAAATAAGTGTGAGCTCCCCTAGAGAGACTCATGGCTGAAAATTGGAAGCTCAGAGGAACCTTGCTCTTTTCAGGCCTCATTAGTCTTAGATGATAAGAAAGATTTTTATTTTATTTTTTATTTAAAAAAAATTTTTTTTTTCCCTCTTCAATGAGAAAAGTACAAGAGCAACATGTTTGATAGAGTTGCAGAATGTGTATGGTGGAGAACCATTGAAAACTCTATAAAATTTGTCTTCCCTGCTACAGTGTTGAAGAGGTGAATTGTGTTAGATGTAAAAAGTCAAGGAGAGTACCTGGGATCTCTATTATTTATTCCTCTATTATTGTTTTCAGAGAGAAAACAACGAATGTATCCCTGCTAGCTGATATTATCATGAGATTAGTACTAGTATTCATTTATGTAAAATCACCTGTTCTGGTTTGAGTACCCGATTGTATGGTGATACTGGCTTTAATAAAGAACATGGTCGTTAATTGACACACTCGTTAATGTCAACATGATGTGGCCTACTCAAGATTTTTCAAATGTGAAATTTCCTAAGCAGTCTCGCATCATCTAATTTCAGTTTCTTGAACCAGCAGAACTGTGGGCCCCTTTAGAGCCTTTACAAATACTGTTCCTTCTGTCTTTTCCTCTCAGTTTTGACTTTGCTAACTCCGACTTGTCTCCAAGGAGGTCTAGTGGAGCAACGCTTAAATGCTTGATTGTATACCGAAAGGTTGTTCGTTGGAGCCCATCCAGCCTATCCACAGAAGAAAGTCCTTACAGTCTGCTGCCATTAAAATTATGGCCTAGAAAGCCTTATAGGGCTTGTCCTGTCACATGGGATCAGTATGAATTAAAATCGACTCAACATAACTGAACAAAACAGCTTACCTTAAGTCTCAGCCTATATATCAGAGTCGACTTTCCCTGGCCACTTTCATCTTCACCATTGTTGTGGTTGTTATTAAGTGTTGTCAAGTCTGTTGCGACTCTCTAGGGTTTCTGAGGCACAGCTGGTGAGCTTTTAACCGCTAACCTTATGGTTCACACCGACCTTGCAGTCCAGTGTATTAATCCACAGTGCCACACCAGGACTCATCTTTGCTCGATTGCCCTACTCACTCTTAGCATCCAGCGCTACTCATTTACAGACTTTAATGCAGCTTAAAATTTGTGTTCAAATATGTGTTCAGTTATATAACAGTTGCTCTCTCTTTAGACTGTAAATCTCATGGAGGCAGTAGAAAAGTACATTTTATTTTGTAATTGTGAGATAGCCCAGACTAGTCACTATGTATGCCTTAATGTCTTTTTTGTCCCGAACTCATTGTTAAATGAAGCAATATGTTGTTGTTGTTGTTAAGTGCCGTCGAGTCGGTTCCGACCCATAGCGACCCTGTACAGGGTTTCCGAGGGTGTAAATCCTTACGGGAGTAGAAAGCGTCATCTTTCTCCCGTGGAACGGCTGGTAGTTTCGAACCGCTGATCTTAAGGTTCGAAGCAATATACATATTACTTATATGCAAGCATACTTATGTACATAAATACCTGCATAATAGCCAGCCCCAAGTTTTCTTAAAGACTTGTCTTAGATGTTAGATAAATTAAAGCTGTAAAAGTTCAGTTTCTGGGCGCCCTATGCTTAGTGCACCAACTTATATAAAATGTTTGCAGGTGTGAGAACTATTGTTCTGCCAAATTTTATAGCATCATTCATGGGCCACAGAAAATTATCAGCTGAAACATTAGCCTGCTCTATTTGGTCAGACATTTAATTAACTCACCCCTAATGCGAGTCCTGGTATGACGCTGTGGATAAAGCACTGGACAACAACGTCAGTTTGAACTGCAAGGTCAGCGGTTCAGATTTACCAGCTGCTCCTCAGAAACCCTCTCCACAATCACTGTGAGTCAGAACCAACTCGGAGGCACTTAACAACAGCAACCATGTAGTGGCTGGAACTGCAGGTTCCTTGACAGAGGCAGACCAAGAGATTTCGAGGGACCATGGGACGTTCTCCACCCCTGGTTTAAAGCATATTTATCTGTGTTAGGATTTTTAGTAAGTTTCATAATTTTCTTTTCTAGCAGTCCTTTTTTTTCCTTTTCCTTTACCATCTTGGAGAGAATAGTGGATTTTGAAAGTTTTGCCACATTGACATTTTCTTCATGTGTACTCAGTTATTCCTCCAGCCCTTCTCCTGTGTAGTTTCCTTGTTGACCCTCTTCTCTCAAATATAGTTATAATCTATGGATAGAATCTGTTATAAAGATGTCAGTTAAAGTTCATACCCTATGACTTTAAGTTGCAATTATGAAACCATCAGCTTCTTGTGTTAGCTTCATTAATTGCAACACTTGGTTACCTGCGTGTTAAGTGTCATACTTTAACTGTTAAGTGTCATAATTTCGCTTCCTGATAGCACTATCAGGATGAAAGTATACAGTTAATTTGATTAGATGCTCTAGAATGCATTTTTCGAAATTCACAGCTTAGCCAAACTGTCCTTTGATCAAGAACAAACACACTTCGAATCTCAGCAAGTGGTGGTTTAAACAGATGTGCCTATATGATTTTCTTCTTCTTGTTATATGCAGTTGAGTCAGTTTTGACTCATAGCAACCTTGTATAGGGTGTCTGAGAGTGACCAGTGGGTTAGAACTGCTCATCTTTTGGTTACCTCTACAGTGTTTATCCTACAGCACCACACTAGGGCTCTATATGAGGATTATTACTAACAAAACAAACTTTCTAGCTTCAAGCTTATACTTGGTGAGTATTTTCCATAACCTCAGCTCTCCACAGCTCTACCATCAACAAAATAACAATTCCCATTAATTGAATTCTTATTATGTGCCATTTATTCCTTACAACTCTCAAATGAAGTAGAGTTTCACACACGAGACTCAGGCAGAGAAAGGTTTAGTGACTTAACCCGATGCCAGACAGCAAGTGACAAGTAGAGCACAGATTGAACTCGGACCAGTTATCATTAGAAATAGTTAATCTTCTAGCTACAACTATTTTGTTGTTTTTGTTTTCCTTCTTCTTTGTCTTTGCTTCCTTTGTTGTTGTTATAAGACACCTCATGGAATAGTCTTTGCCATTTATTATAGAAGCCATTTGCTGTGTGTGGCAATTTGAATTTAAATTCATAAAATTTTGTTCCTTAGTCACACTGACCTCATGGTAAGTGCTCACTGGACTGCAAATCACAAGGTCAGTGGTTCAAACCCACCAGCTGCTTCTCGGAAAGCTTATACAGGGTCGCTATGAGTCAGAACCAACTTGACATCACTTAACGACAACCAGTTGTGACTAGGGGCTGCCATGCTGTTCACAGATATAGAGCATTTCCTATCATCACAGAAAATACTATTGGCCAACAGTGTATTAGGGTTCTCAAACCCTATTGCCATACACGGTCCAGTCCTGGTAGATAAACAAGTACCTGGGAGACTTTTTCAAGTACAAGTTTTGGAACCAAGGTTCAGAAGATTCTGATTTAGTGAGTCTAGGGAAGGCCCAAGTAATGAGGACATTTTAATAATCTAGCCAACTTATTCTCATCCATACCTACCCAGGTCTTAACGTTAAGGATCAGTCGACAGAGACTTTAAAATTCCTTTTAAAATCACTCATACCACAGGGCTGCAGCAGAGAGCTTCAAATTCCACTGTTTAGGAGGAGAGAAACATTTCTTTACAAAAACTATATTAACTACTGACCCATCCCATACATAAAAAGTAATAAAATGTTCATAAATGTTGAAACCCTCTGATCTTCCTTCCCTAGTTAAGCTTTGGAGAAGGAAATCTATGGTGTATTTTCAAAACTCTGCTCTTGGCTGTGTAAATTGAACACATTCTAAATTCAACATATGCTAATGAGCTTTATTTTTAAAAACTAACTCATTCAGATAGACTGTCAGGCACATTTTCACATTTGGCAACTTTGCCTATATTAAGGGTGCCGTTGTTGTTGTTTAGTGCCATCGAGTGGGTTTTGACCCATAGTGACCCTGTATATGGTTTCCAAGGAACGGCTGGTGGGCTTGAATTGCCGACCTTGTATCTCAAACTGACCTCATGGTCCAGCGCATTATCCTGCAGTGTCACGCTATGACTCCTATAATAAGGGTTGATTGGGTTGGTTGGTTATGTACAGTGGAGTCAATTCCACCTCATAGCAACCCTGAATAGGGGTTTCTAGACTGTAAATCTTTGCGGGAGCAGAAAGCCTCATCTTTCTTCTGTGGAATAGCTGGCAGGTTCAAACTGCTGACTTTGAGGTTAACAGCCCAACTCATAACCACTGTGTTACCAGAGCTCCTTAATGGAGGGTGTTGTTGTTAAAGTGTCATTGAGTCAATTCCAACCCATAGCGACCCTGTGTAGGGTTTCCTAGGAGAGGTTGATGAGCTGAACCATCGACCTTGTGGTTCACACTGATTATGCAGTCCAGCACATTAACCCACAGCACCTCACCAGACTCCTTAACGGAGGATAAGAAATTCACATACCAAACACATCGTTTCATGGGACAGGGAATGGGATGGCTTAGTAGGATAAACATTAGACTACAAATCACAAGGCCTGAGATTGAAGCTCCACTGGTGAGAGAGATGAGGCTTTCTGGCCCCACCCAGATTTAGAACCTCAGAAACTATACAGGGTGGCTGTAAGTCAGAACTACCTCTGCTTCAATTAACATCAATAACGAAGACATGTTAAGTTTTATTTTTGTACGCTAGTTAATAAATTTATTCATTCAGCAAAGTATTTTAGAATTCATAAAAAATTGTCCTGCTGGCATTGTACCCTACCAATTGTTGCCTAATCCATTCCAACTCATGGTGATTCTATGTGCATGAGGCTACACCTGTGCTCCACGAAGTTTCAGTGGCTGATTTTTTGGGATTAGATTGCCAGGCCTATCTTCGAAGGCACCTCTTGGTGAACTCAGACTGCCATCTTTTAGATTTTCAATTAACAAGACAACGGTTTGCACCACCAGGGACTTGCAGTACCATAGTTTTCTACAAACAGTGCTTGAGGAGTTATACATTTGTTTGCAAACTATGCATCCCCCTCTTGCATTAGTTTCCTATGAATGCTGTGCAGTTACTGGCATGAGTACATGTTTTACATGAGCACCTCATATGTGAAAACAGAGTATTTTAGACACTGGATATACAAGCACAACTCCCTGACCTTGTAGAGCTTACATTCTAGTGGCATGCTTGTACAAGCCTGTGCATACCTTTCATGCATAAGGGCAGGGGCCTTAAGGCAAAAGCCAACTTAATAGGTCAGATTTAGACTGTGTTGGGGAGTCCTGGTGTGATGCTATACAAAAAGCACTGGTGTGCTAACCAAAAGATCAGAGGTTCAAACCCACAGCTGTTCCACAGAAACCCTATACAGGGATGACTAAGATTTAGAACCGACTCGAAGGTACTTAACAACAACAACAACAAACTGTGTTGGATGACAAGACATGATAAAGAGAAGAGCGTCGTGGGAAATGGGGGTTGGGAATGTTAAAGGAGGTTTTACACATTTTATCAGCAAGTAAGTATGAGCTAAGAAATGGTGACCAGAGCTGGTCTCACTGAGAAAGGGACAGCTGTGTGGGTCCCTGCTTTGCTGAGATCGGTTCCCCGTCAGGCTCCCTGAACTACTTAGTAGGCTTTGCCACTAAGAACACAGACCATTGGCACCTCTGCTCTGAACTACACTGGGGAGACTACTTCATCTCCTGGTGCCTCAGCAGGTGAAGTTCCTTGATGAATTGACTAGCTACAGCTTTTCTTTAACTACACTTATATGGCTGTAGTTTGTCAAACTTCCTAAAGCCTGGGGAGGTTAGTGAGCTGAACTATGAGTGTAAGCAAGTAAAAAAAAGCCCTTTTTAGTAGGCAGAAACTTTTCACATACACAATTAAAAATTGTGTGTGTGCCCAGAGACCTTTTAAGGCATTTAGATAAAACTAACCTAAATACCTCTCCGTCCTGCGTGTCAGTGTGTGTATGCGGGTAGGGGATAGTTTCTGTCATTATTTTCCCTCTCTGTATTTTATAACAATCTTCATAACAAAGAAAAGGGGAGATTGGAAGTTTCTGTCATTATTTTCCCTCTTTCTATTTTATAACAATCTTCATAACAAAGGAAAGGGGAGATAGGAAGTGAAATTTGTTGTTGTTCATAGCGAACCTATATAGGGTTTCGGAGGATCCGCTGGTGGGTTTGAACTGCCTACGTTGTTGCACCACGGCAAAAGTGAAATTAGGAGACTTGAAAGAATCTGAAATGGAATTGTGCCCATTGTTTGGGATGATCAAAGAAATTCCTGTACATTTCTCAATGACAGAGAAAAGCTAATTAATAAAGCCCCACATAAAACTTTTTGTTCCGTGCCCAAATAGCAATTTATGAATGAATCGGGGAAAAAAAAGACAGTACAATCTTAGGTAGTCTAGTTTGGGAGTTACTTAGCCATGTATGCATTACTTCTGTTTAATACTACTGGATATGGTGCTGCATGGCTCTTGTTAGTAATTATATAGTTTGTATTTTTTAAGATCGTGAGCGATATGTCTGTGGCTTTTCACAAACAGTAAATTTTAACAGTGGATGTTATAGCAGTGGGCTCTTATACAAATTAATAGTAAAATCACAGAGCAATAGTAAATTATCAGTAAAAATAAGTTGATTTAATTTATTTAAAAAAAATTTTTGACGTTAGTTAAATTTTAACCTACCAATTCTAGATTTTCATGAAATGATTCTTTGCAACCATAATATGATGATGCCTGGTATTACTTGTGCATTTTTAAAAAGAGTTTCTGTTGGATTTTAAACTAAAGCGGTATTTTTTGCCCCAGTTGGTTTCATAAGTAGAAACCCCAGAACGTGGTATCACATTGGAAGCTGCACAGAGAAATATACAACAGAACAAAACAAATACAAAAGACCCAATCTATTTTCTGTGAGGAACTCCATGGAAACACAAACCAAAGTACATAAACCCAAACCACAGGAGGGTATAAGATGATTGCAACCTAATTTAACCTGTTCGTGCATCTTCTATTGGGCCTTCAATCTGACATGCTATATGTCCTTCTCCTCAACCAAATGACCTACCAACTACCAATTACCTTCAAGTTGACTCCCAACTCATGGGTGTTAGAGTAAGAGCTGTGTTCCAAACCTTTAAATTAGGAACAGAGTGTTTAACCATTAACTTTACCAAGGGATTCTAAAAATCGCATAGGAACATCCTTTTTTGTTGAAGTCAAGAGACACCTTCCTTAAGACATGTGCCCAAATGCCTTGGTGTATGAACTTGAAGAACTGTCTCTAGTTTGCATCTTTTTCTGTATAGTTCATCTTTTATAACGTTCTTTGTGCTTTTTGCTTCACTCTAGGCAAACCTTTTTTTACACGAAACCCTTCTGAGTTGAAAGGAAAATTCATTCACACGAAACTGAGGAAAAGCAGCCGTGGCTTTGGATTCACAGTTGTTGGAGGCGACGAGCCTGACGAATTTCTTCAGATCAAGAGCTTGGTCCTCGATGGGCCTGCTGCATTGGACGGCAAGATGGAAACAGGTACAGAGAATAGATGATGGACTGGGTGTGGTTTGAGTGGTGTGTTTCTACCCAGGACTCAGACAGGAATAAGCATCATCATGATTTCAAGGGTTGTAAATGTCTTTTAAAACCCTTGAAAATGAGCCAGATTCTCCATTATATACTTTTATCCCCTTATAAAGATTTAGACCTTTGAAAATGTCTAAACTTTGGGGGCTCTTAGGATGCTATTGAGTAGAGTCAAGTAGTAATTTACTAAAAATGTAGTTTTCTTTGAATACATGAATTCTACTTGAATTCCTGCAGTCAGATATTTTTTAGAAGAAATCTCAAATGTTCTCTCATGATTATTATATTCTCACTAGCAGGGAACATAACTAGATGCAAGAAGAATGCCTTATTGACAGATAAATAATAGGAGACGTCTCTTTGCCTTCTCTAAATCTAGTTTCAGTTCAGCTTTGTATGTAGGTAGGATTTAACATTATATTATTGACTTAACTTCTCTGGGTGCTGATTTTTTGTTTTGTATTTACCTCTAAATGTTTACCTTTTGCAGGGGATGTCATTGTCAGTGTGAACGACACCTGTGTCTTGGGACACACACATGCTCAAGTTGTGAAAATCTTTCAGTCCATTCCCATTGGTGCCAGTGTGGACCTTGAACTCTGCCGAGGTTATCCATTGCCTTTTGACCCAGATGACCCCAATACAAGTTTGGTGACTTCGGTGGCTATTTTGGATAAAGAACCAATTATCGTGAATGGACAAGAGACCTATGATTCACCAGCCAGCCACAGTAGTAAGACTGGCAAAGTCAACAGCACGAAGGATGCCAGGCCCAGCAGCCCCGCTGATGTGGCTTCAAATGGTTCCCATGGTTACCCCAATGATACTGTTTCTTTGGCTTCCTCCATAGCCACTCAGCCAGAACTCATAACTGTTCATATAGTCAAAGGGCCTATGGGCTTTGGTTTTACTATCGCAGACAGTCCTGGTGGTGGTGGCCAAAGAGTGAAACAGATTGTTGACAGTCCAAGGTGCCGAGGCCTGAAAGAAGGGGATCTTATAGTAGAAGTTAATAAGAAGAACGTGCAAGCTCTGACTCACAACCAAGTAGTGGATATGCTGATCGAATGTCCAAAGGGAAGTGAAGTCACATTGTTGGTGCAAAGAGGAGGTATGTAGGTTTTGTTCTTTCTTTTTTAAGCCCCAAACTGCTTATTTATCTGACTGATCTTTAGATGTCTGCTTTGGGCTTTTTTTATGTCTTTTACTTTGAGATTGTTTTTTATACGCATGCTTGGAAATGCATTTCAAAGGCCTCTGGTTTCTCCAAATGCTAGCCTTCTTATAGTAAGGGAGTTGCTTTATACACTTGCAGTACATTTCCTGAACTTGGCCTGTGTGACCAGTAAGTTACGACTCCCAGTCACTTCTGCATATTCATCTCACGCCTTTTCTCCTCACGGTGCCTTAGCCACACTGGCGTCTTTTTTGATGGTTCATTTTGTTTGGGAACATTTTATTGTGGTTGGGCTGAAAGTTTACAGCGCAGGTTAGTTTCCCATTCAACACTTTACACACATTTTGTTGCCTGACACTGGTAGCCATCCCTTCAGTGTAACAGCCGTCTTCCTGCTTCCTCTGTGTTTACTGAGTCCATTTGTCCTTCATTCTGACCTCTTTCTGCTTTCTTAGATTTATCCCTGGGCTTGTGTGGTTGATTTTTTTTGCAGAATACATTCCTCACTGGTGCCTGTTCACTTTTATAGACCTGTTGATTGTTGATCTGAAAGGTGATCTCAAGGGTAGGTTTAGTTCCATGTTTGAAGGTTGTCTAAGAGCCATAGTCTTGGGGTCGCACCAGTCCCACAGTGGAATTTTTACATTGATCTGAGTGGTCAGCCATGGTGGCTGGGGACCATCTAGTTCTTTCCGTCTCAGGCTACTCACTGGTGGTCTGTGGTTCATGTGGTTCATTAGTCTTTTGGACTGTTTCCCTTGAGTATGATTTTCTTCACTCTTCTTTCATGCTGGCCTCGTTTCTGTTCGTTCCTTCAATGAATGCCCTAAGCCTTTTCCTTTCTGAGGGCTTTTGCATTGACTGTTCTCTCTACCTGGAATAGTCTTTCCCTACTTCTTTTCTTAGCTGGCTCAGTGTCACTTAGCTTTTCTGAGAGAGGGCTTCTCTGGTTATTTAATGTAAACTAGTTCCCTAACACCTCCATTTAATCGCTACTGCTTCAGCCTATTTTTCCATAAACTTTATCATTGTTGTGGTAAGTGCTGTCGAGTCAGTTCCCACTCATAACAAGGCTGTGTACAACAGAACCAAACACTGCCCAGTCCTGTACCATCCTCAGAGTGGTTATCTTGCTTGAGTCCCATTGTTGCAAGCACTGCATTGATCCATTTCACTGATGATCTTCCTCTCTTATGTTAACCTTCCATTTTACCAAGCATCATGTCCTTCTCCATGACTGGACCCCCCATGATAGCATGTCCAAAGCACATGAAACAATACCTTGCCATCCTTGCTACTGAGAAACAGTATTATTATCACAAGTGATTATTTGTATGTTTATTTTTCTTTATCGTTCTTGCGCTTAATAGGGTATAAGCTCTACATAGCTGTCTATAGATGGCTGTATCCCTAGCATCTAACACAGTAGTGGATTCTGCAAAGTATTCATGAATGAATAAGCATTGAAATAAGTAATTAATGGGTATATGGTTATTTATACTTTGCAGGAACAACAGTCCCAGTAGTCATATTAAAAACATAGCTCAGTATTCTCATATTTTAATGGTTTCATTGAAGTTCTCCAGAGAAAGAGATGTTCTAATTCTTAGGCATTTAATATCTTAGACATTAGGCAGTTTTCTTTTCCCCCACCTTACCCTCTCCCCACAATCCCCCACCCACTACACCACCAAAATTCCAAGGCTCTCATACAGAGAAATCATTTCTACTTTGTTAAAATATCTTGCTTCTGCAACACATATTTGCAACTAGTTTGGACTGATTATCTCACATTTATTTATTTTTGTTTATAGCTCTCTCTTCCACTAAGACAGGCCTAAAATGGGATGGATTCCCAATCCTTCCAATCAATATGATTTGTTTCATGCACAGCATATTAAGGCCTCTGTAAAGAGATAAGGAACCCGATGTGTATTTCTTGTTCCATTGCAACAGAGAAACTATTTTGTGCTGTGGCAGCCATGTTTCCATGCTCTCATGAAGCGCAACACCTGCTGCTATCAACGTGATTATAGGGTCGTTGGAAGGAAATCCGAAATGTAGAGCAACTGTCAGCGTGAATGAAAATTCTCACCCTACCCATCTCAAACAATCATAGAAGCCATTGTGTGGATTATTTTGAAAAAATGTGATTCCCATCAATAGGATTTTGAAATCTGTTCTTGTAACTTGATCCCTTGACTGTACAGATAGTTGTTTTTTAAACAGTGACCGCCATACAGTAGGAAGTGATGTGAGCATAGAGGTGATGCTAATGATGATACTTACAAGCCAGCAATTTACAAAAACACTTTCACTTTCAATATACATGACTCCCATCTGATCATTACCATTTCATTGTGCGGTTGGAAGACCCTAGCCCACATTAAGGCTGAGAAGTTTACCCCAGCTCTGGGGTTTCCACTCTGCTGGTCTGCTCTCCCTACTTAAATCTGTATAACACTGATCTTTTACATAATTGCTGATTTCTAGGGCCTACTGCTTGGAAATTTTTCAGTGGTTCTTGGTACCCCAGAGGTGTCTCTGATTCCTGCAGTGTTCATGCTCTCCTCCCTCATTTATTTCCTTCATATCTGTTACCAATGTGTCGAGTTTCTCTAGTTCATTAAAGTCACTTTTAAAGAGACAATGAAATACATAAAGCCTCATGACAATCTAACAATAATTACTGAAGCCACATGGTAATGAATTTACCCCAACTACCAAACAACCTAGGAGCTCTGGTAGCGTAGTGGTTACGAATCGGGCTGTGAACCTCAAGGTCAGCGGTTCGAAACTACCACCTATTCCACCGGAGAAAGATGAAGCTTTCTGCTCCTGTAAAGATTTACAGCCTCAGAAACCCTGTACAGAGTCGCTATGAGTTGGAACTGACTCCACGGCACAGAACCACCACTACCACCAAACAACTGATTGTAGAAACATACCTCATGGTTTTAGGGGCCAGTGGTGGTTTAGTGGCTGAATTCTTGCTTTCCAGGTGGGGAACCTGGATTTGGTTCCCAACCAGTGCACCACATACACAGCGCCTCCTGTTGGTCAGTGAGGCTTTCATATTGCTATGATGCTGAACATACCACTCAGCTGTCAGTTTCTCAGACTCTGGTGGCTTGTGTGTTGCTGTGATGCTGGAAGCATTGCCACATGTATTTTCAGGGTCAACCTGTGGTGGACAGGTATCAGCAGAGTTTCCAGAATGACACAGACTTGGAAGAAGGAGAGGCAGACTTCTGAATGGTTATCCACTGAAAATCTTAGGAGTCGCAGTGGCATATTGTCAAATACAGTGCTGGAAGATGAAAACATTATGAATACAACAATTGAGTCATGCATTACAACAATTGTGAGGATGGACCAGGACCAAGGGAGCATTTTGTTCTGTTGTGTGTAGGGTTGCTATGAGTTGGAACCAACTCGGCAGCACCTAACCCCAACAACAACACTGATACTGAACAGGTTTCAGTGAAGTTTCTAGACTGAGAAAGATGAGGAATCAAGGTCTGGTAATATACTTCTGAGAAGCAGCTAGTGGGAACCCTATAGCTCATAGTAGTCAGACCAGAAACTGATCATTGTAATGGTTCAGGGCCAGGTAGGGTTCTGTTCCAGTCTGCATGGGGTCACAATGAGTTGGGGGCCAACTTCACAGCAGCCAACAGCAACACCCCTTGATATTAAGTATGTTTGCCTTATCCTTTTTGTTAATCCTATTGCACTTTATAACCTTAAATTAATACGGAAAGATCCAGAATATATTGCCACATTAGTCAGCATCTACATAGTTTATTCCAGAACCTGAGTAATTTAAAAGCACTCTAACATCAGCAGTCTTTAAAATATGCCGTATGCCTTGTGCTTGATTTATGTATAGCATAGAAAGTTTGTACATCTGCAGTTGGTAGACTAGCACCAGCTATTATTAATCTTTCTCGAAAGCATATAAATATATCTGTTTCTGCCATACATTAGTTATTTGAATTGAGACTGACATTTAATCATCCCTCCTATGCGGTGGGTGTATAATGAGAACATTTGATGAAGGAACAAAGACAGCAGCTACCTTAAATGAGAAAGTAAATGGCCATTTCACTGATTCTTTTTAATGAATCTCATTTCTGTCATAACTCCTAGTAAGCAGATTGATAAACTCATTAAATCCACACCATTGATGATTCTCAGGAATTTATATCTCAAGGATGAGGCTTTCTCGGCTATGAAGAACAGGTCTTTTTTACTTTAGGGCAGAACTGGCAGTGTTTGTAGCATCCATTTTCATTCTTATTATCCCAAGCTCATTTTTGACATTTGTGGTCATGATCAGATACATTGCACCTTTCAGTATTTTTAGTTGTTTATTGTTTGTTCGTTTTCTCTCTTTCTTTATCTGTCTGAAAACCAAGCAGCAGTTGAAATCTCATTTGTAAAATTTGGAGATCAGAACAGTTTCCTGGGTCAGGGTATGAGTTTCTGGAGCTGTTCATCCACACGCCCAGGAAGCTGAGACCCTTACTGATTTGTTACATCTTCCTGCCTGCTGGTCCCTCACTCACAGTTCTTTAAAAGCCAGCACTTTTCTTCCCACCCCAGGCTTCTGATCATTCCTGTGTCTGTCCTTTCCCCCTCTTCCCTCTGCTGTCCAGTGAGGAGAATGGTTATTCTTTAACAAAGCATCTAAATTTTGAAAAAATGTGAGTCTCAAGACTTCTTTGAGATATTTGAAACATCAGGATAGAAAGTGATTACTTAATAGACAAGGTTTTGTTTTTGAATTTACAAAAGATACATGAAATGTCAATGTAAACCATTTTCACTTTACAAAGGGATTATGTCATAGTAACATAATCACCTGTAACCCCTCTGTGTAAAATGCTTCGTATTTTTGGCTCATTCACACTTTCTAGTTAGGAGTGACA